GGGCAGGGCAGGGCAGGGCAGGGCAGGGCAGGGCAGGGCAGGGGCAGGGCAGGGCAGGGCAGGGGCGGGCGCTGCTCACCCTGGGAGTTGGTGATGCCCACGTGCAGGTCGCAGTGCCCGCGGTAGTCGCTGCGAGAGGAGCAGGGGCTGCGGAGGGCGGCCGCCCGCCCGCCTTCCTGCCCGGGCGCTCTGCCCTCCGCTCCCAGCCCTTCCCTTCCCTGCCCCTGCCCTTTTTCCTCCCCATTCCCTCTCAATGCCCGCCCTTTTCCCATCCCTTTTCCCTCCCATTCCCCATTCTCCTCCCCTTTCACCTCCCATTCTCCATTTCCCTTCCCATTCCCCTCCCCCTTCCCTCCCCGTTCCCCTCCCATTCTCCATTTCCCTCTCAGTGCCCGCCCCATTCCCGTTCCCGTCCCCATCCCCATTCCTATTCCAGTTCCCGTTCCCGGTCCCGCCCCGCCCCGCCCCGCAGCGCCCCCTGGCGGTTACTGCAGGAAGTTGCCGCGGCTGGGCCTAATGAGGAAGGCGCGGGGCTGCCCGTGGCCGTGCCGGAAGGGGCAGCGCAGGCGGACAGGCGCAGCGGCCAGCCCGGCGGCGCGCAGGTCCCCGCCGCACGCGGGGCAGCGCGGCGGCGCGCGCCGGCAGTACAGCAGCGCGCGGCAGTGGCGCACGCGCAGCAGCGCCATGGCCCGGCGCGCCGGCGAACGCCGTCCGGCCGGAAACGCGGCCGCGGGGAGGGGCGGGGCCGCGGCCACGCCCCCCCGCGCCGCGGAACCTCAGCGCGCGGCGCGCGGGGCCGGGCGGGCCCGGCAGTGCGGCGCACGATGAGCACGAAGCAGGTGACGTGCAGGTGAGCGCGAGCCGCGGCCGCACGGCCCAGAGCCCTCAGAGCCCACACGGCCCCCACTGCCCTCACCGCTCCTGAGCCCTCAGAGCCCTCACGGCCCCCACCGCTCCTGAGCCCTCAGAGCCCTCACTGCCCTCACCGCTCCTGAGCCCTCAGAGCCCTCACGGCCCCCACTGCACTCACCGCCCCTGAGCCCGCAGGGCCCGCTGAGCCCGCACGGCCCTCGGAGCCCTCAGAGACGGCACGGCCCTCTAAGCCCTCCCTGCCGTCAGAGCCCGCACGGCCTGCAGAGCCCCAGAGCCCTCAGAGCCCGCACGGCCCTCGGGCACCCCGCCGGCACCGCCTCGGGCCCTGCCCCGCGCCTCGTTCCGCTCTCCCGCCCCCCACACTCGGCCCGGGCCGGAGCCCTCACAGCCCCCAGACCCCGCCCCGGGCCCTTGGAGCCGCCCGGTCCCGCTCCCGGCCCCGCAGGCCGTGTGGGCCGAGCCGGGGCCCGTGGGTGCCCCGAGCCCCCTGTCCCGGCGCTGCCGGGGAGCGGCGGGGCCAGCGCGGAGCGGCTCTCGGGGGTTCTGCCCGGGGGAGGGCGCTCGGGTAGCGGAGGGGCCGCGGGCAGCCCCCGTGGCTGGGGGAGAGCGCGGAGCGCTCTGCCCGGGGCAGGCGGGGCACGGCCGGAGCCGCGGGGCCGGGCTGGGCTGGAGGGGCTTTGCCAGCCGCGGTGCTGCCCCACAAACACACACACAAACACACAAAGGCGGTGCTCCCGCGGCAGTGCCCGCCCTGAGCGCGTCTCTCCGCAGGTACTTCTTGCAGGGCGTGTGCCGGGAGGGCAGCAAGTGCCTCTTCTCCCATGACCTGGCCACCAGCAAATCCTCCACCATCTGCAAGTACTACCAGAAGGGGCAGTGTGCCTACGGCTCCCGCTGCAGGTAAGCCCCCGGCAGCTCCTGGCCTGGCAGCCTCCCCCAGGGCCAGCAAGGAGCACCGGGGCAGGGGAAGAATTTATTAAATGTCAGTTTTGCCAGAGCATAAAGCAGCTTTGTCCTCCAGTGGTAGAGTTCTGCTCTGGCTCAGTTTCAGGGATTGCTTTGCTCTGTGGAAATGGAGCTTTGGGTCTCAGGTGTGTTTTCCACCCCGTTGTTGCAGTCAGAGCTGCCGGTGCTGCTGGAGAGGATGGGAGCTCCTGGTGCAGCTCCCTCCTGCCCTTCCAGTGCAGTTTTGGAACTTTAGCTCTGCCTGGGAGCAAAGTGCCCTCCTCGTGTTCCCCTGGCTGGGTGGGAGGGCTGAGCAGTCCCACAGCTCTCCCTGAGTGTGAGGTTAAAACTGCCAGGGGAATGCTCTGAGGAGTACCGGGCATGGATTGCTTCCTGGGGAATTCCCTGCTGCCTGAGGAGCCCGCAGCTCCCCTGGGAGCTCCCTGCCTTGCCTAGTCCCTGTGCCACACCAGGGTCAGGCTCTGGGCATCACTGATTCCATCTGCTGCTCCGGGCTGGGCTGAGCTCCTCCGGGCTGGCTGCAGGCTGCGTGTGCTTTCCTGGCTGCAGTTTGGGCACTGGGGCACGTGTCCAGGCCCACGCACAGATGGGGAATATTTCTGTTCCCCTGAAAATACTGTAGCATTTGGGTACGGCCCTGGAGCAGCCCCTTCACTCCCCGGGCTGCTCCTGCTCTGCTGCTGTGCTGTGTCCCCGGTTTCCCTGGGGTGTGTCCCCGGCTCCCCCAGGGTCTCTCCCCGGTTTCCCGGCTGTTGGGATCCTTCCCCCGGGGCAGCTGTGGGTTGGGTGTCCGGGTGCGGGCCGTGATGCCGTTTCCGTGCCGCAGGTATGACCACGTGAGGCTCCCTCCGGCGGGCGGAGCCGCGGCCCCGCCGCCCTCCGCGGCCCCGGGCAGCCCCCGGGCGCCCCCCGAGCCCGGCCCCGGCGCCCCGCGCAGCAGGAGGGAGAAGAGGACGCTGGTGCTGCGGGACAGAAGTGAGTGGGAGGCTGCTGGGCTCGGGGCCGCGGGGAGGGGGTGGTGTCTCCTGCGGTTATCGGGATTTCAAGGTCGGCCTGGGCTCCTGCCGGAGCCTCCTTCCTGCAGGCACCGCCCGCCCATCCTTTTCGGTGCTCCGGGCAGTGCCTGCCTCCGTCCTGCTCCCCGGGCTGGGAGAGCTTTGTGCGCCCTGACAGGAGGATGAGCGGGGCAGTGTCAGGCTCTGCTCCCAGTCAGCAGCAGCACGGCCTGGGAGACTGGGGCTGGGCATTGGGGTGGGGGTGCTTTGCATGGAGAGAATGGGCAGGCACTGGGAGGGATTCCTCAGCCCTGGAGGTGTCCGAGGGACAGCTGGTGTGGCACTCGGGGCTCTGGGTGGGGTGACAAAGGGCGATGGGTCAGACCTGCTGATCGTCCAGCTGTAGTGGTTCTGTGGTTTTTCAGTCAGTCAGTGACCAGAGCACAGCTGAATAAACACCAGGCAGCCTGGGGGAATCCCTGTGACTCCTGAGCAGGGGATCAGGGATGGCCCCAGGGCAGCCAGCAGTGCCGGTGCGGGGCTGAGCGGTGCCCGGCGCGGTGCCCGCAGGGCTGTGAGTGCTCCCTGCTGTCCCCGCAGACCTGTGCGGCCCCAGCGAGGACGCTCAGCGGCCCGGCGGCCCCGGGGCCGGGCTGTGCTGCGGCAGCCCCGGGGACAGCCAGGAGGACAAGCCCCACTCCTACCTGGAGGCCATCTGCAGCGGGCTGCAGGAGCCGGGGCCTGGCGGCTGCCCCGGTGCCGCGGAGCAGCTGTGTCCCTACGCCGCCGCCGGCGCCTGCCACTTCGGGGAGCGCTGCCTCTACCTGCACGGGGAGCTCTGCGAGATCTGCGGCCTCCAGGTGCTGCACCCCTTCGACCAGGAGCAGAGGAAGGCCCACGAGATGGTAAAGGGGGAGCTGGGGGGGCTGCTCTGCTCAGGGCAGGGTTGGGGCTGGCTGCTCTGAAGATGGAGCTGCTGTTGTACTGCTGCTCTGGAGAATGTGCTAGGAGTGGTCAGCTGAAGCCTCTGGAGCTGAATGGGCAGCGATGCTGCAGGCAGCACCTCGGGGGTTTTGCCATTCCATCCTCGTGCAGCCTTCTCCCAGGAGAATCTCTTTGGGAGGTCTCTGAGGCACCAGCTTGCCCTGCAGTGCTGAGGGAATGGGCTGTGGATTGTCACTGCTGTGGGAAAGCTTGAAATAAGAGAGTAATTCCTTAACTGGGGAAAAATTAACATCTGGTGTACAAGTGTGGCCTTAATTGTACTCAGAGGAACACCTTGAGTGTGGCACCTATTTAGTGAGATGTTTTTTGGGGATGTTTGAAGCATCAGATAATTCAGTACCTGTTGCCTGACAGAGATGCAGAAAGGGGTGAATGAAGCACCCTGGCATCTTTATTTCTGACAGCTGGGAGAACACTGAAGGCTGAAATGCATGATTGAATTTAATGTTGTTTAAATTAAACCCTGACAGTGACAGGTAGGAATGATGCCCCCAGTGAGTGTTCCATGTTTTCCCTGCAGTAGATCCTTTCCAGAGGGAATTTGGTGTGACAGGCAGGCACTCACAGTGGCTCTCCCCTGACAGATGTGCATGGCAACGTTTGAGCACGACATGGAGAGGGCCTTTGCCATCCAGGCCAGCCAGGACAAGGTGTGCAGCATCTGCATGGAGGTGGTGTATGAGAAGCCCTCGGCCTCAGAGAGGAGGTTTGGGATCCTGTCCAACTGCACCCACACGTACTGCCTGTCCTGCATCCGCCAGTGGAGATGTGCCAAGCAGTTTGAGAACCCCATCATCAAGTGAGTTCTGGCACCTGCCACGGCCTGGGGGGCTGCACCTGCTCCAGGGGAGGCTGGAGCTGCAGCTCAGCAGAGCCTGCTCCAGGTGCTGCCAGGCCCAGGGCTGGGCTGAGAGCTGCCTGCATAGCATCAGGGTGCACTGGGTATCCTTTGGGGCAGTTCCCTTCATTCCACAGCCCTGTGGGGGAGCTTTGGCCAGTGGCAGCTCAGCCCTCTCTGATGGTGTGTTCAGTGGGCAGAGCGAACTCTGGAACAGCTGGGACCTGGAAAAACTCTGCCCCTTGTGAAATGCCTCATTTCCTGGGCTCAGAACTGAGATTGGAATGCTCTCATGTGGCAGTGTCCTGGTGTCCCCCGTGCTGAGCAGCAGACACAGAATCTTTAGAATAACCATCTACCTGTGGCACGAGCTGATGGAGCAGCTGTTATCACTACAGTGCCCACTTCAGTGAGGGACTTCAGTAAGAACTCCCATTTTTTCCTATGTATGTGCTTAATTATAGGATTTTCCCCTAAATTACAGCTTGGTCCAGGTAAATGTCTCACTTAGCACACTTTTATCTGTCTCAGTAAATGCCTTTATCTTCTAGCTCTACAAAAAATGTGTTCCAAACATGTTCTCCCTCGGAGAGAATTTAAAACATCCAATTAGGGAAGCTTCCTTCTTGAAGCATCTCAAGTTACAAACATGCTGAAGAAAAGGTGGGAAATATTTTCAGTCCTCTACCAAAATAGACTTTTCTGCACAACTTTCACTCCAAATTTCACTGAAGTGACCCTCAGCTCTTTGCATTTCAAAAGGCTGTGACATCTTAATTTGTGGTTTTGGCTTCCTGCTGCACTCCCAGAACACAGTTTGTTTCTGCACACTGAGGAAGTCCCTGCTGCTTTTGCTCAAGTCCAGAAACAAACAAAGCCCTGGGTGCCCGGAGGGTAATTCCAGCTGGAACTCCCAGCAAAGTGCTGTGCTAACGTGGGAGGAGGTGTGTGCTGCCTGAGGTGCCAGAGATGCCCTTTCTCTCAGGAGGATCCTGTGCCAGCTCTGTGGAGGGTTTCAGTCTGGGGAGGTACCAGAGCATCTCTGCTTTGTCTTGTTCCTCCAGGTCCTGCCCCGAGTGCCGGGTGATCTCCGAGTTTGTCATCCCCAGCGTGTACTGGGTGGAAGAGCAGGAGAAGAAGAATGAGCTGATTGAAGCATTTAAGCAGGGAGTGGGGTAAGTTCAGCAGCCACCCACACTCCTCATGTTATTCTTTAGCTGCTCTAAGACTCGGGCAATTGCTGAGCCTTTATTTTTCAGCTTACTGTAATTACTGACCACTCTGCAGAGAGCTGCTCATCTCTGCTCACACCTGTGCTTCACTCTGTGGCTGTGTAATTGTAGCTCACACATTCAGCCTCCCTCTCTCAGCCATAATTGCCTGCAAGGTTGTTGGTGACTGAGGAGAGCAAATGGGGAAGGAAAATGGAAGAGTTTCACTGCTCTCAGCTGAGGAATGGGAGGCCAAAGCTCTGGCTGTGTTACCAGGGCATCACTGAGGCTGTGGGGACTGAAGTGCACCTCCTTCCCTTGCAGCTGAAGGCAATAACCCTCTCTCTTGCAATGAACTCAGGAAAAAGCCCTGCAAGTACTTTGAGCAAGGCAAGGGAACGTGTCCCTTCGGAGGGAAGTGTCTGTACCTGCACGCCTATCCCGACGGGACCCGAGCAGAGCCTGAGAAGCCCCGGAAGCAGCTCAGCTCCGAGGGCACAGTGCGGGTAAGGGAGCCCTGCTGTCCCCAGCCCTCCCTGCTGGGGATGCTTCCTGCCATGCAGGACAAGGGAGAAAAGCCCTCTCACTGTTCCCTTGGCAAAGGTTTGTTCTTGGAGGTGGAAGGCACCTCTCGTTGAACTACAAAATAGCATTGCTTGGTTTTTTTTTCACCAGTCCAAACCTTTCCTCAGAGGAATTCTGCCCTTAAAGCTTTCACCCACAGTACTCACAGTTCCTCTCCTCTGCCCCAGCTGTGTCCCCTCAGCGCCTGTTCTGGGACAGGCTGTCAGCCTGAGCTCAAACCCAGCTCTGAGACTGGTTTGAAGGAGGAGACGCCTGCCCAGGCCAGCGTGGGCTGGCTGCTGGTGCTCAGGCAGCTTTTTCTCTCTTGCAGTTCTTCAATTCCGTGCGCCTGTGGGACTTCATCGAGGACAGGGAGAGCAGGAGCACACCCGACGCCGAGGTCACGGAGCTGGGGGAGCTGTTCATGCACCTCTCTGGGGCTGAGGAGGATCCCACTGCTGCCAGGGAGCACACACAGCCCCTCTGAGCCCAGCAGTGCAGCTGCTTGCCAGCCATGCTTTTACTCTCTGCAGCACAGGTAGAACAAAACGTGCCCTGGTGGTTACTTGTGCAGTCCTGGTAAAGTTTACAGATAGTTTTTATATGGCAGCAACAAAAAAAGACTAAAATATATTTAAAAGAAAAAAAAAATTGGCTGCATGGAAAAAAATCCCTTAATCCCAGGAGGGTTTTCTCCCTCTCTGGCCTAACATGCTGTCTTGTGAGCTGAGTGGTAGTGTAAGTACAGGTCCAGTGAAAGCTTAAGCTGGTAAAAACTGTTGCTAATTAGAGTTTGGGTGCTTTTGGGTTTTTTCCTCCACTAAAACAGCTAAATGTATAACAACAAAACCCACTGGGAATAATGGAATAATGGTCAGTGTAGGGTTTTCTCCTTAAAAAGGAGCTGGTACATTATACCTCAAGTAGTACCCTGGAGTTCAGAGCAGTTTGGTGGAATCCCTGGGCAGGGCCTGGCTCTCAGGTGCTGCCAGGGAGTTCCCAGCCCTGTTTCACACTAACCCAGTGCTGGGAGGCACCAGTGGCTCCTGCTGAGAGGCAAATGCAGCTGCACTGATTCCTGAACTCTGGCACAACTGGAGCTTGGGAGCTGCAGCACGAGAGGAGCTGTCCTCACCAACCCAGCCAGCCCTGCCCCACAGCCAGGAGTGGCTCTGCAGCAGCTCAGTGCCTCCATTCCCCTTTTCCCCAGCACTGCCCAAGGCCCAGGGCTGAGGGATTGTGCACATCTCTGCTGAGTTAACAGAATTGTTACTGAATTCTGCCTTTGTTAAAAATGGGATTTCTGTTGGTGTGGCAAAGGCAGCTTGATTGTGAAATCTGGTACCAGAAGTTAATTTTGCCAAGTCAACTGTTCTAACTTGAAATTTAAACCAAGAATTCAGTGTGCACTGCAGTGGCTGCTGAGTAACAGCATGGACACAGCTGAGCATGAGCTTCCACTGACTTAGGTCCTTGTAAATCACTTGGGGGTGGAGTGAGACACTGAGCAGGGCTTGTAAATACAGATAGAGATGTGGGGTTTATTTTAGAACAGTTTGGTTGCAATGGAAGGCAGGTGTGTTAACTGGTTTGGTTATTATCTACAGCAATATAAAAGCATAAAAATAATACTTAAAATTGTGTAAGAAAGGAAGGCCAAGAGCAGAAAGGTTTGTAAGGTTTGTAATCACCACCTGTGGACCAGTGATGGTCACAGCTTCCTCCAGCAAGGGTGGGAAATGCTGAAGGAGAAGGTGTTCAGAGGGAGCTGGGCAGGAGGCTGTGCCAGCTGGGCACACAGGGCCCTCCCTGGGGCAGTGACAGCAGGGTCTGCTCCCAGCTGGGAGGGACCAGCAGCAGCCTTAATCTGGGGTTCCACATCTTCAGCTGCCACCAAAGCAGTGACTCCTGGCTTGTCCCTTCAGTGCTGTTGGCACTTCTGGGTCAGGGGCTCCTCCCTGTGCCAGCTGTGCCCTCTGTTCTGAGCTGGAAATTAAACTGTCCCCTCACTATCCCCCTACAGGTGATACTTAGTTCACTGCAGTCAGGACTGGCCTTGGCAGTGGCTGTAACATCAATTCCCAGTTTCTTGGTAAAACTGGCCTAGCGAAGGTCTGAAGCCCAATCAGTGCAACTGGTCAGCAGTAATTACAAAGCAGAAGGTAAATTATCCCTAAGAGGGGTGTCACACACCAAGATCAATGTTTAAGGACACCCAAACACCCTTTCTACCCTAGAGTACTTCCCCAGCCCTCATCCTTTCACTGAAGCTGATTTCCATCTGCTCCTGCACATAATTTTTTTCTCCAGAAATACTGTCAGGAGTACACTAAAAAAAAACCAGTAATATTGTTAAAAGCCTTGCAAAACTGTATGGAGACTCAATTTACCATTCAGGAAGCAAAGCTTACATGAATTCTCAGTTATCACCCAGGGATTCAAGTTCTGTTACAGAATGTTCTGGGGACAAACTGGAGGTGATTTCTGTGTCTGGCTCTCCTCCCCTGCACAGGAGCTTTGTGAGTTTTTGCTGCTGCAGAGAGGCTGCAGTGGCTGTTTGGGCATTCCTGGGAGAGGTGCACAGGGGGACAGTCACAGTTCCCAGCCAAGGCAGCAGATCTGCCCAGCAGCTCTGGGGTGGAGGTGCCAGAGGGCACTGCCAGCCCCGCTCCCCACTCCCTGACCCCCCAGAACCTGTTTGCACCCACAGAAAGGCGAAGTCCCAAAGTGGGCTCCATTCGTGCCCTAATAACCACATTTTACATTGAAAACACCCATTTTTAGATTCACCCACCTGTTCCTGTCCTCCATGGAGTTCAGCCAACATAAAAACCTCTCAATAAAAGAGAAAATTGAGCCAAAGTGGTGCAGGGCAAGAGCCTGAGAGCACATCAGGGGGTCGTCCAAAGCAGCTGCTGCTCAAAGATCACTACGGTACAAAAAGCTGTCTTGTCCTGTGACTGGAAATGTAGAGGTTGTTTTAACAAGTGTGTTTTTACTTGCACTGCTATTATTTATCACTTACTTTTAAAAAATTATTCAGAATGTCATTTCTTGTGTTTTCCAAATGCCGATGTCCCACTCTGAACTGTGGATGACTACATTAAAATGATGACAATGAATCTTAAACCTAAAATTTAATTTATTTTATTAAAATAAGATAATCAGAGGAACCTTGGCTTACAATAAATGCATTTTCTCAGGAGCAATAAAAACAAAATTAAAACCCAAATCAACAAGAAAAACTGTATATGCTCAGTTTCCTCTTGCTAGTGCATCTCTTGGACGACAGCTTCCGCTGGGATGCAGCCTCTGCAGGAGGTGGGACATGCCCAGCCCCTTCCAGCCCCCAGCCCAGCATTCCTCACTCACCCTGCCTGGGCTGCACAAACAGGTCCATAGTACCAAAGGCAGCTGGGAGGCTTCCCAAGGTGACCAAAGCAGGACCGGCTCACCTCCTTCTCTGAGCAGGACAATTCACAACAGATTCCATCCTTTTGCAAGAGTTTTTCTTCTATGTGCAAAACTATTGCAAAACTATTTTGTGTTGAATTAGCATTTGAACTTATTTCATTGGCTTGGTGAAGCTCTTAGGCAGGAGCCGATTTCCAGAGTCATTTCCTCTTCCCACTCCAGGCACAGCTCCCTGGGGTGAGGTGACACTTGGCACGGGGCAGTCAGAGCACCAGAACGTCACCTGTCCACAGAGCCACCTCACTGAGCACAGAGCAAACCCAGCCAGAACCACTGCCCAAGAAACAGCCATCACTTCTGGGAAGGGGAAAATAAGGCTCAAGTGCATCTATTAAAAAAATAGTAATAGATCTCTTGATTTGTAGTCTGTTACCTCTCCCAGAACAAGAGGTGGTAGCAAAGGCAATGAGGAGCCGCGTCCCTGCAGCTGAGAACCGCGCGAGTCCGCAGCAGGCGCTGTGCAGGACGCGGAGGCTCCTGCCGGAGGAGCCGGGCAGCGAGGCGGGAGCAGAGGCACCGCTCCGTTCTGCTGCTGCTGCGGGGCAGGGCAGCCCGGACACGCCCAGGGCAGCTCAGAACACGGGCAGCCGCGTGGAGGTCAGCGTGCACGCGTTGATGTCCTCGCTGTGCGCCGCGCGGTGCAGGGACGGCTCCGAGGCGCTGCGGTTGATCTTGGGCAGGGAGTGCTGCAGCAGCTCGATGGACGACAGGATCTGGGGAAAGAGCAGCGTTACGCTGTGCTCAGGACACCCCTTTTTCCTGGGACCCCTGTGACTCTGATCAGGTAAGTGTGGTCCCCTCCTTCCTGCCCCGACCCCCTGTCCAGAGCCTAGCTAAGGCCATGTCCCTTCCTGTTCGCTCTTTCCCCCTTCATCTCATGGAATAAAGAAGCTGGACAATTACATCAGGGATTAGAGCCTCTTCTGCATCTTTGCCCATCTGACATGCCTCCCCTCAAGGCCTCATATCTCTGGGCTGGCCTGGTAATCTGGGGGCTGAGAGGGGAGAAGTGTCAGAGCAGCTCAGAGAGGCCTCTGGGGCCTGCAGCTCCCTCTGCTCCCATTTAATCATTCATTAACTCTTTTAATTCTTACCCGATTGAATTATGGCTTTAAGTTCTGAATTAATGCTCCGTGGGGTACTAAAAACACCGAACCCAACTCTGCCCACCACTGTCAGTTGCTGTGAGGGCCTTGGAGAGTTTCAGAGGGTGGGAGGGTGCTTCTCATCAGTTCACAGACATTAGGGACAATTAAGCATCCAAACTACCCTCCAGCAGAGGAACAGGGAAAGAGCTGCATCTTCTGACTGACATTTAAAAAGAACTTTCTAAACAATGCTTGACTGCAACAGCAATAAGTTACTTTTTCCACAATTGCTGATGTTTAATTAATTAATTACTCATCATTAATGAGTATAAGAAAGTACCTTCCCCATCCCCATGGTGACAGGAAAAGCTAAAGCCTCCCTTGTAAAAATAGCAAAAAATTGCTCCATGAATTTACATCCGCTAGTGGATTTTGTTTCCTTGTTCAGAGTTGTGGGGAAGGAAAGGAGCAGTGGCCTCTCACTTCCCTCAACCCTACTCCAAAGCAGAATGGATACCCAGAGACAGATTTCACTGTGAGGGTGTGAGGGTGGGTTTGGCGTCTCTCTAGATACATCAGGGGTTGAAAGGCTGCTCTGGTGTCAGCCCAGCACAGCCTCAGCCCACACAAGCTGCAGGTTGTGTTCCTGGACTTCACACAAACTGCAAGTCAAGCAAAACTCAAACTGCCAAGAGCTACATTATGAATAAAGACAGAAACAGGACACAGGCTGCACTTCCCATTAATCAAAATTTCTGTGTGAGCAGACTCTGTGTGCTAATGGCTCTCCATAAACCCCTCAGCTCCTGTGCAGGACCCCACTCACCTGTGGGAACAGAGGCCGTTCCTCCCTAACCTTCTTCAAACAATCTGCTACCAGCCTCTTCATGGCCTTGGGGCAGTTCTTGTACAGCTTGCTGAGGTCTGGGGAAGCATAGCCCCTGCCAACCATGAAAATGATCTGCAAAAAGCCCACAGCACAAGAGCCAGGTTACACAAGGGGCTTCACTGCTGGGCAGCTTCAGTGCCCCCAGGGTGCTGAAACCCAGGCCCACAGGGCACCAACACAGCCCTGCAGGTTTGGCTGGCTAACAGCACAGCTCAGCAAAGACTAAACACAAATATTCAATATTCCAAGGCTGGACACTAGATACTGGGACTTTTCCCTTAGTAAAAAGCACCACATCTAGTCTTCCTGATGTAGCAGCAGCATATTTAACACCAAAATGGGAATTTCCTATAACTGCAAATGTATAAAGCAGTATTTTACTGTGCAGCAAAAGCTGTGGCCTGGGAATAAATTAACAGGGCACTTCAAATGTTTATAAACAAGGAGTTTTTTCCTTTGAGTACCTGCACTGTCAATACTGAGGTGTACACTCAGTTACACATTTACTGCTGAAACAAAGCAGCTTGTCAACATCACTTGAGTTGGTTTGCATTTGTATTTATCCTGCATTCCTCAAGGACAAGGGGATGTGCCATGGGCAGAAATAAACTGGAGTGTCCCAGAAAGGTAATTACTAAAAAAGTAATTCAGAAATATAAACATGACTGACTCTTTCTCATTTCTATGTCAGGAGCAGAGCTAACCTATTTCACAAAAATGATCATCATTACTAGGAATCACAAATTTCTGGCCTCCTATACAGTAAAACAATTGGGTTTTTTTTGCTTAACTGAAAAAGAAATCCATTGCCATTCTGGAACTACTGAACTTGGCAGACTTTTTTTTTGTGATGACATTTGCCAAAACATCTGGTCACATTTGATGGAAGGAAGCCCCAGTTCCTGCTGGCAGCTCCAGGGATGTTCTGGCAATACCAAAGCAGGCATTTCCAAGGTGAAAGAAATCAGCTCACAACATTTTCACTCCAGATGTGTTACTAAATATATATTTTTGCACACAATATAATGGTAAAAGACTGCCTTGTCTTGAGTTTAGGCTTTTGGCTTCATTTCTGCCAGCCTATGTGAGGAATTCTCAAGAGATGAAAACTAGACAAGAAGCAGAGGTTTCTCACCTGATCTCTGTTGTTGATGTGGGAGTAAGGCAGCTCTCCTGTCATCAGCTCGTATAACACTATTCCATAGGAGTAGACATCTGACTGGAAGCTGAAGGGGTTGCTGTCCTGCATCCTGATCACCTCGGGGGCCTGGCAGGGAAAACAGATTATCAACAAAACCAGAAAGCACAAGAGGAGGCAAAGGATTTGGGAAGTGAGCTCAGCTGGAAATGAGTGAGCAAAGGGCACCCCCACAGCTTTGATGAGGTTGCCTAAGGCTCTGGAGAAGTTCAGGCAGGGCTACTTCACATCTTATTAAAAATATCAATGCTTAAACTGAAAAATCATTTTGCCATTAGAAAAAATATTATTTCTATTTGCAACATTTATTGACTTCTGTTACACCTTACACAGAGCTGAGCCTAAGTTTCACCACCAGTTCTTAAACTGGTATCAAGGTTAAAAGGGAAAAATACAAAATTCACAAGAGTGAATTGATACCAAAACATGGTCAGGAAATGTGAAAGCCAAACACAAAATAGCACATAGTGAACAGATCAGAGAAGAAATGCAGGGACATTTTTATGTATTTGCAAATTATGAAGCTTCTTAAAATAAACAATGTCAGATGACTGAGCAAAACAAGGTGTGAACCATCAGAAGAACTTTCCCATTGGTTAAGATTTTTTTTTTTCCCTCCTAAAAAATTCCCTCAGAATTACTAAGCAAAGCAAAATACAACAGCATATAAACCACAATAAGGGATCACAGGAGCTTCCAAAAAACAGAAACAACCTCCCTTTCTATGACAGCACAGCAAAGATGGGCTGTAAATGACTAAAATAAATACATTCTTTTAAAAAGCCTGCAATGTGCAAATATGCAGGGCTTTTTTTCCCCAAGGTCTGTTTCATGTACACAAATACACTGCATGTCGTTGGTAAATTAGTTTTAAATCCTTTTATGGAAAGTTTTTTAGAAATTTGGCTTTTTGTACAACTTTTTTTAAAGAAAAAAAAAAAACATTCCTGCTTCTGAAACTTTATTTCAGGTGATGTGTGTATTTTACAGAGCACAAAACAGTCTTAACCAAGCATCTTGACATTTTTAATATACATTTCCAGATATACTGGCAGCTTTAAATATTTAAAATAACCCACAAGCCCCAGTGGAGAATCCATGGGTGCCTGGTGCCTACTTTGCCCAATTAATCTCCCCAGTTCCATGTTAGCTTGGGACAAAAATCCACCCAGGACTGACAGAGCTGAATGCCCAGGGTAGTGCTCAGGGACAGCTGCAGAAGGAATATTTAAAATATTTAATATTTTATATTAAATTTATTTAATATTTATATTTAAAAGCAGGGAATGCTGTGCTCACCATCCACAGGATGGAGCCCGTGGGCTGCTCCACCTGCTGGGATCCACTCCACCTGGATTTTACAGTTGCCAGACCAAAGTCTCCTATTTTCACTGTGAGGCCTTCATGAAGAAATATATCTGTGGGTTTGTTAAAGAAACTGCACAAAATTGAGACAATAGTTCTGTATTTTCTGACCTGACTAGCAAGTGCTGTGAGCTGTTTGTGAAACAAAGGACAAGGGATTTTAAATTAACATTTAACACTAAACCAGAGCAGATGTTCCAGCAGCATTTGTAGGTTTA